CTACGCTAAAAACAGTGAAAGCAAGGCTGAGGATTCCATCCCTTCGAGCCTCTAACAAACTGCTTTGGGACGATTGTCGAGACCGTTAACATTCGAAGATATTTGCCAACTTGGTCGAAATCTCCAGATTTTCGTGTGGCTATTCCGAACGTAGTATCTCTAGTTGCTAAACCTCTAGTTGCTGTTCCACATTTCAGCCATATAAAAAATTTACATATTTATTTATATAATTTTATAAACTGATCTACTTTAGCTGATGCGAGGTTGGTGTAGGTCTTCGTTGTCGTTGTTGTTGATATTGTTGCTCGATGGCTGACGTTTCGGCGATTTCGTATTTCTCAGAGCCTGAACGTATTTTATGTTAGAATGCTTTAATTTCAGTCATCGCTGACTACACCATCAAAACTTCTATCTCCCACGACCGACTTTCTATTAACCTCGGCATTGAGCAAGCAATTCTTCGTATTTTTGTTGAGCAAACGCAAGGTGTTATTATTCTTTATTCACGAATAAGCTGACGTTTCGGCGGATTTCGCCTTCCTCAGAGCCTGGAAAGGTCAAGTTGACAGCAATCCACTCGGCCAGACGCCTCCATAACCAAACAAAGAAACTCTAAACCAAGATTTCAATCACATTCAACACAGCTTTGCACACTCACCGCCTTCTATGAGGTTTCCACTAAATATGTCACGTAGAGACCAACCGCACAGAAATCATATGGAAGCATAATGTGCCCCTCCAATCAGAATAGCAGTCTTATATACTGCCCTATATCACGCGTGATAATGAGGCATTCTTCCCTGCGGTTCATTTTCGGATTTCTATAATTAATCCAGAATGCCTCGAGAGTTTTTCGCACCTGTGTTCTTGATTCGCGTGCAAGGATCGTGACACATACTTCGAAGTCTTCCCCGTTATGTCTCTGGGTCCTATGCGTGCCTAGCGGGGTATTTGGTCTATTTTTGCCGGCTAGGTGTTCTTTCATGCGGACACAGAGGGGTCTACCCGTTTCGCCAATGTATTCGTCACCACACGTCTTACAGGAGATCAGATAAACTATACCCGAGCTCATGCAATCACCGACTCTACCACTGGGGCAAATTATGCAATTTTGAGTTGATTTTGAGTTAATTCCAGAAATCCGAAAATGAACCGCAGGGAAGCCTCATTATCACGCGTGATATAGGGCAGTATATAAGACTGCTATTCTGATTGGAGGGGCACATTATGCTTCCATATGATTTCTGTGCGGTTGGTCTCTACGTGACATATTTAGTGGAAACCTCATAGAAGGCGGTGAGTGTGCAAAGCTGTGTTGAATGTGATTGAAATCTTGGTTTAGAGTTTCTTTGTTTGGTTATGGAGGCGTCTGGCCGAGTGGATTGCTGTCAACTTGACCTTTCCAGGCTCTGAGGAAGGCGAAATCCGCCGAAACGTCAGCTTATTCGTTAATAAAGAATAATAACACCTCGCGTTTGCTCAACAAAAATACGGAGAATTACTTTTATCTTCTTTCTCTGATTCACTTTCCTCAAAATCTTCGACGAGAAGCATGATATTTTTCACATTGTTCTGCACACCTCCACCTTTTTCATAGTCACTTCCGCTTAGATGTCGATTGATGTTCCAGCATGTACTTTCTTAAAACGTTAATTGGACTTTGGTGGTCGGAGGCGCCCTGTAACACGCACCTGAAATTGATCTCAGTGCCCATGGTTCACAAAGCATCCATTCCTCCGGGGTCGGCAAATTGGTACCAGACTTGTCTGAGAGGATAGAAGCACTGGCTCAATACATCGGTAGGCCACCGCGAGTAAAGGCCAGATATGCATTCAATCACCTCTAAATAATACTTAAAAAAATTGAATGTATGGCGCATTTCTCAGAAACTGATCAGTACCGAGAGCTTCCAGGCTCTGAAGAAGGCGATACTGCGGAAACTTCAGATAGTGTTGTATTGTATTGCCTTGTAGATTGTATATCAGCATGCCCTTCCAGGCTCTGAAGAAGGCGATACTGCCGAAACGTCAGCTAGCGTTGTATTGCATTGTGGTTTCTTGTGGAAGTAAATGTATGCTGTTTAAAAACCTCGCGATTGCTGAACAAGAAAACGACACATTCATATTCCAATGCCGAGGTTAAGAGGAAGTCGATCCTGGGAACACCGAGAGCTTCATCTTTTTTATCCTTTTAATTGTTCCTGTACTCGCAGCATTTCTTGCGATGGGTCCCAGGCTTAAACACATGTATTTAGAATTGCATTGTTTTGGCAACAACTTCTAGCACATTTTTTCGCAAACAAATGATTTTTCGGTGATAGCATTGTTATTAGATACCACCAAACTGTTGTTGATTAAAACTTTATCGCTTGACTGCACCAATACGGTGAGGAGATTGAGCGTGTCTGATAACGCCTTTACAAGCAGACATCTGTATGTCTCTGATTAAAAATGGAACAGAAAAGTCTTCACCTCAAAACATGAGTTCACTTGACAATAAATATCAACTAACAGAATTAGTTAATTGCATAGAAAAGTTGCCAGAAATATCAATTTTTAGGTATCCTACTTGGACACTTAGTTGGACTGCGCTCTGAGGGAATCATGAGAACCCTGTACCACTTCAGTCTAATCCATAATTTACTAGTTGGGCAATAACATCTTCTTTTTTAATAATCTTAAGATACATTTGGATTGTCTTAAACATACCATCCTTTCAGTGGAGGTAGGATCTCATCTTCGAATAGGCATATCCAGGTCCAAGTTTAGATGATTAGGTGATACTCAGACGGTCCATTTTCGCATAACTTGCAGACCACAGAAATTCCATTATTCATTTTACTGTCTTGCAGTTAGCTATCACCCACGGAGGTGGTCACATTGGTATGAGAGTTTATCGGTGTCTTGGACACTTACCGTCGTTTCCTTTAACTGCAGTAGTAAACCTTGACAATGCTGGCAGCAATGATAGGGAATTTTTTAACTCGTGTTGATGAAAAATGCTTGCTGTCATTCTTCAAGGAATCAAATCTTTTTCAAAATCCTGTCTTTCACATGACTGTTTTTCATCGAGTGTTCCACCAGTACTGTTTAGGACGACTCGAGTGAAAAGTTTGTAGAAGACAGACAGCACACAGATTGGGCGATTGTTGCACATATCGTGGAGGAGACCGTTCTTTGGTAATAGCACAGGCACGATGATCTTCTACTGAATAGAAACCTTGCATTCTGATAAATAACGTGTGAAGAACCAAGTCAGTGTGTTTATGACAAATGGAGCAAGGTTCTTCAGGTGTTCAGATTTTATGCTGTCCCGACTTGGTGTGGTTGGATACTTCACCGATGAAATAGCAGGCCAGATTTTAGAACAGAGAATCCGTGATAGAACATATCCACATCATTCTAAGATATGAGATTATGAATACACTAGTTAAACGGGTGGAGCACACCGTATTATCATAATAAAATACCATCACGAGAAGGTTAAAATCCGGCAAAGCACTCCTATATATACACCGACGACAGAGAAACACAGTGGTGATGAAGTAATTCTTCGTATTCTTGTTGAGCAAACGCGAGGTGTTATTTTATATTTTATTCACGAACAAGCTGACGTTTCGGCGGATTTTGCCTTCCTTTGAGCCTGGAAAGGTCAAGTTGACAGCAATCTATTCGGCCAAAGTGGTCATATCTTGATTGTTCCAACAATGGTGATGATTTGGAAGTCGCAGTCACAATCCTTGAGCAAAAATCAAAAACGTCAACGTTCACTTAAGGCATGTTGAATAGCTTTTAGAAATCCAACAATGAAACGGAAACCGAATTCGTCACTACCATGCGCTGCTGGTGCCGTTTAACAGGCAAAATTTTTATTGTTTTATTGCAATTGCAATTCTTGTGCGAATTATAGTACGAGACTCGCATCGGATACTATGTTCGAATTAAATCACCTGCATGGACAACGATTCCCAGGTAAGGGAACGAATGGAAAGTAGTAGGGTCACCACAACTCGTGAAGATAGGCCACCCAAGTAAGAAACTTTGGGAGACCATGAGTGAAAGTCACAGGATGAAAATTGAAGTTCCATGGTACCACAACTTATCTGTCAGGTGTTCTTGTCAGATGAATGCCCTAAGTTGGCTTACGAGTGAGAACATTGGAGCTCAGCTTGCTCCTTTGAATGAAATGCTGAGCTGTTTGCTGGCACTAACTTGCTTCTGTTCGTTCTTTACCACACGGATCTTGTGATAGCTAATTTCACAACGTTGGTCTCGAACATGGGTAATTAAAGCTTACTCTTTAGAAAACCACAGAGTTTGATTAGTAAGTATTAATGTCATGCACAGAATATAGTAACATTCTGCTGCTTCTTCTGTAAAGAGAGTACAACTTTAATTTATTCAAATAGATAGGAAAGATACTTTATGTGGTCAAGGGTCCACAAATTTTCTTAATGTCGAATTGTCCCTTATCGACAGATATATAACACTATTGTTTTTATTCGACACGAAAACGTAAAGGAAAAACTTTAAATCGGAAAATACAGTGCATTTTTTTTTGGACTGGTTGCTGTTCTTGCAACCAATCTCTCAGAGAGTACTTAGAAAAAATACAAAATTTTGAATTATCACGACAATAGCGATGAAAAGAGTGATTTTCACTGTCTATTTCTGAAGTGAAAGCGCAAATCCAATACGGACACTTCCGATATCGAAGATGTTGCAGTACTAGCGGATAAATGGATGGTCGAGGATCCACGCTGGTCCAGAACCACCGAATTCAAACGGAAACATGGCTAACAAGCACTTGTCTTCTGCTGCCTAAATTTAATTTGTGAGTGTTTTCTTTTTGAGCAGACAAGAGGCTGTTGATAACAAGGTTTATTCAATAATGGCTCACGATTAGGAGGTTTAGCTTTCTTAAGGCTCGCATCGTTCTTTATAGATATTCCAGGTATTGCTGGAGAAAAGCCATGAAGAGTCTTATATGAGCTAGAAATGTCAAAGGAAAGAACAAAACAGTTCTGAAAAAGGCGATAAAGCCGAAAAGTCAGCCGTAATTGGATAAGTTTTGTTATTAACAACCCCGGGTCTGCTCGTGAAGAAAACACCAGCGATTTTCAAATTTCTCAAGTGGAGTGAAAATAAGTGCGCTAGAGTGAAACTTACGCGTACAATGTAGTTAACATATTTAATGGAATATGTGCTGTTGCCAATGGTTATGTCAATAGGTTCTGGTGTAGCATCACAGGAAATTATGTATGATTCTTCAGCGGCGCTATACTAAATAAAAAAAGTCTTTCACCGAGTTTCAGTGTTAAGTTTAAGCCAAAAAAGATTTGAAGATTTATACAGTAACTTCAGCGGCTTCAGTAAGACTGTCGACGACAGACCCTGGTCCACCGATAAACGAAGTGCCGGTGTCGGAAATAACTTCGTAAGCGTGCGAATGCCAGTACGATCCCAATCCAATGGCATCCATCTTGGAAAATTCGTATTATGAAAAGGCCTAGAGGTTTAGCGAAAAGAATTTTGAAGAGGACTAAGTTAACACTGCAACCAACTTTAAAGTGATAATAAGTGGCAGATGTTAGAGGTTGGTAGGAAATCATTGGCCCACAGTTCACGGTGTCAGCTGCACCGTAAGTGAATAGACTTCCGAGTACTCCCTCACTGAGTCCTCGGTGCTCCATCCAGACAGTGAAGAGTGGTTGATCAAGCAATCCTTGAAAGCTCTTAATTCTCAAACATCACCAACATCGTTTACAAATTTTTTTTAGTAGCATTGTATCACCTTGATCAATGGCATTGATGAGTGGTGGCACAGCAACGTTGTCCACGGCAATAGAAGTGAAAGCAAGGACGAGAATTCCATCAGTAGTATTCTGCAACAAGTTACTTTCAAAGGATTACCTAGGCTGTTAACATTCAAAGATATTTGCCAACTTCTTCGAAATTTCCGAATATATATGTGGTTATGCCGAACGTGGTGTTCGGAACCACCACTTGTCGTTCCATAGTTCCACCAAACTAAAAATGCAAAGTACATCGAATCCCAATAAAAAATTTGGCGGAAAAACAGTAATTCCACTTGCTTTGACTGTATCAGTTTTAAAAACTCTTTCGGCATTTCATGCTCCATATTAGATTTTCCAGGTCCTTTCGCTCTTCACAAAAGTGCTTGATAACGAGGGTACAAACTTTCGCTTCAAATCGCATGAAAAACTGAAAGCGATAGTTGATTTTCCAATTTTAAATCATTACAGTGATTTTAAATTGGTAATCCACAGCCTTCTTGATTAAAAGGCATAAGGTTCAACCACAGCGATCCTGAGATATTTGCAAAACGTGGGCTCCAGGCCGGAGCCGAGCCTGCGATTACCCTTTTGTGGCGCTCACGTTTTACCTTGGAACTTATGCCCTTGCTTTGCCTTTCTCTCATCAAGTTTTTAACTTCAACTATGGCATCAGCAATCACATTGTGACCATGTGGTCTGAAGTCTCAGGCTTAACCTGCGTTTAATGCCGACTTGTGCCCCTTGGATCATTCCCGTTTACAGGTAATTGCTGATGGCGCCGTTAGGGTAGAAAACTGGCTGAGGGGAAGGCAAATCATAACCTCAGCGGTGCAGTGTGTAACAGGTGAACCCGAAAAAAGTAATTGCGGTTCGTCTAACCTGTAGTCCAAGTTTTGCAAATATCTCAGTATCATTGTAATTGTATTTCACATAGTACCTTGCCATGAAAAAATACACGTGGTAAATAAAAAGTTGTACGTTGAGACATAAGGTTGTTATTATAGCATCCATTAACACAACCTGATATCTCAGTGCTTTCTCCTTTTGAAGGGTCTGGAAAGGTCAAATCTCCACGGAATTTGCGCAACCAAAAGCTTTCACAACTTCAACAGAAAAAACAACGAATACATCTTTATTCGCATAGTAAACAGCTTCTTTTAAACTCTCGCCGCTTTATGTCTTGCCAGTCTTCCAGTTAATGTTGGAGACCAGCCGCCTTACATGGGCGAAGAATGTGCTTAGTTCAGATCAAAGAACTAGCCTGAGCTACAGGACACGGTGACGTGTGAGCACACAACATTCATCCTTAGAGTTCATTTTTAGGTATTTCTAATTCATTCAAGACACTTCAAGAGTTTTACGCGCTGACATTATGGATTCCATTGCGAGTGTAGAGACTTTTACTTCAAAAATCTTCTCCGTTCTGTCCACTTGACTTAACGAGTGCTTAGTGAAGTGCTTGGTTTCTTTACGTTTGCCAACGAGGTGGTCTTTTACGCGAAAATATAGTGGTCTACCCACCCATTTCGCTAAGGTATTTTTTCCAATTCGATTTACAAGAAAACAGATATACTGTACCTGAACTCATGCAGTCGAATTGTTGGCACGGCTATAAAACGTTGCTCAGGCAAGTTTTAAAAAATCGGCAGCAGCGCTCAAAATCCCTCCGAATAGTTTAAGCGCCAACTTGTGTTTGTCATAACGCTAGAGACGGGGATTGCTTGAGCTGGGGTATGGTGTACCAAATATCTTGTAAAGCGTGTGAGAACGAATACATTGGCGAAGCGAAACGACACTGTGTGTTCATATATAAGAACACCTAGATGGTAGGTGTAAGGATAAACGAAATACTACACTAGACAAGAATGTAAAACAGACAGATTACAGCGACGATTTTGAAGTGAAGGTCAACATCTTGGCACAGGAATCTGACACCTCATCGCTAAAACCCTCCACTCCGGATAAATTCCAAGAATCTAGAAATGAACGGAAGGAAAAAGTGCCTCGAGATAATGCTGGACTTCCCACCGTACCTCTAGTTAATTTTTTGGCATAGGCCGACCACATTCTTCATCCACGTATGACTGAGGCTGCCCTGCTGGTTTCCATCAAATAACTGGATGACTTGCAAAGAACAATGCGGTGATTAACTATATGAATTACAACTACAAAGATGCTGAAGTATAAGCAAGGCCTGGAATCTCGGATAATAAACTTGGAACCCGCAACTTTCCTTTCTCAAAGCTAGTGAGAGGAAACCAAAGCAGGGGTCTCGGTTGGTGTGGTGGATAGCACATGAGCCACCCACAACGATAGTCGTGGGTTCGAAGCCCGTTTGAGGTTTCCACTTTTGTTCATATCTCAGCATCCATTTCGTTTCCTTCTACGTGGTGCCCTGTTCTGAAAAAATAATAGGCAAAAAATAAAAGTGTAAATGGTGTGTTTAAAAAAAGGTGTTCACTAAGCGAGTGCAATTTACGTATTGCGTTTTTTGCGCTTGAGTTGTGAATGTTATTGATTGCGTAGATTACATGCCACTCCGAGCTTTCTTGCTCCGAGGAAGGCGAGGCCGCCGAAACCGCAGCTACTGCTAATAAATAGTATAATAACAATCTCGTGTATGCTGATCAAAAAAACAGTGAGTTGTCGATTAATTCCGAGGTTAATATGAAGTCGATCCTAGGATTAGTGTTAAAATTAGTACAAGACATTAATGAATGATAAGATACTCAACACATCGTTCATTGATATGGTTAGATGAAGTTGTTATAAAACTTGCTTGTAGCTAAGGTTTCCGTCATCTTCAGAGGTGCGCTGAAATGTTGAGGTCCAATGTATTCCATTCCACTTCTCTTCGAAACCTTTATATTTGTTAAATAACGAAGACGACTTTACACTTTTGAACGTTTGCGATTTTGCGGATTTTTCTCAAAATTCCTCGCTTTTGGTTTCCAAGAAAAAATTTGGTAGAATCACACAGATACACAGACCTATGGAAAATTTCAAAACGAATTGTATTTTTTGTCTTTGACAGTTTAGAAGCAGAATGCAAGCAAGCGATCACGTTGGCGCCTTTTTTTCAAATTAATGCCCTCTCGCTCGATCTTATGATAGTGGATTTTCCTAGTTGTCAGTACCAAGATCTGAGATTTTGCTCACAAGCGGTTTTAAAAAAAATTTCTTTATGAAGCTCTCCGCTAGTAAACTGAATTCTGGTAAATTGTAGTCCTGCGACATCAATTAAAGTTTCAGAAGGTCATCATCATTTAGTCACTTACTCGCAGTTATTTCCTGGAATCCAGAGATTGGCTGATCCGGTGCCAAGCACGACGATAGGTTGCTGGGAGGGTGTACTGATTGTGATGTTGCCAACATATTCAAAATCTCCGTAGTCATATATATTTAAAAAGTGTAGGTTCAGAGCGAGTGGAAGCGAAAAAGTATTTTGTTTCCAGAAAAAGATGACTACCCGAAAATGTTCGTGTTTGTTGAAGGTCTTACCGATTACACCAAAAGTGTCTAAAATTATGTTCAACGTCTAGAGGAGCTAAGCAGGTTCCAGTTTGCTCAATTTTCGCCTTCTCTTAGAACTCTTTCGTCGTTTCTAAGATTTGCAGAAATGTTTTGGTTTTTTGATGAATTGAGGAGTAGGAATTTTTTCGTACCAGTTGTGAAACAGTGTCGAACTTCCATGAGCGAACAGCGTTACGACGCTGGACGTAGGCAGCATACTCGCCTTTTTCGATCATTTGTAGCTGAAATAAGAAGGTCATCGCGTGATTTGGTTAAATAGGGGTTAACGTTTCAAAACTGGGTATTTCGTGCCTTTTTCGACTTTCGCCACATTTGAGAATGCTGAATAACAGCTGCAGTTGTCGCTCCAAAAACAGCAAGGAAAACAACAAGGTGCATCTTAAGCAAGTGTTTTTTTTAATCTAAAATTAAAGCAGCTGTTACCGCATTTGTTTTTGCTTTATTGTTTTATATGACCCGTCCTCACATCCACTGTGCTGATCCCAGCACTTCTTTAAATTCGATTCGTTTCCTCGCAACCATTGCCCGCCAAGATCTTCCAACTTTTACGCATGCCGCTGCTTGAGGATTTTCATTTCATCTTGAATGTCGTAGAATGATGGCCGTGTCGATTCTCGCTGGAGTCCTAAGAAGGCCAGGCTGTAGCCATTCCCAATTGGAATGCAGAGAGTGCTTTTTCCCAAACAAGTCCGGTAGCAATGTCCTGACCACGGATGGATGAGAGGTTTGGTTGACCCGGGGCGGAATCAAACTAGCACCATGTATGTGATGACGGACATCACTACCACTGTGCTATGCTTCGCCTGTTACAGCATTTCATTTTAAAATTCAGCTTCATTATTAAGTGGAAGAATTTAAACGAACAGTAGACGGTAGTATGGTTTATCAGCGGAAGTGTTTTTTGACGTTAGCCAGTAGGTGAGAAATCACTATGGTGTTGTTAATTAAAACCTTATCGCAAGCGTCTTTTATAGGCGTTCAACTGCAATGAATCAATAGATTTGGTAGACAACATGTTTATAACCAAAAGTACGCTCTTTCGCATTTGATTCTGTCCTTTAAAGCTCATAACTGAAGTAACTCATAACTAATAGTTTAACTGAAGTCAACTTTGTTGTTTAAAACTACTTGAGAACAAAAAATTTATCGCGAAATCCTTCCGAGTTTTTATCTTCAACACAGAAGATATATGTGTCCTCTTCTTTTTAGATTCTTCCATAAATACTTAGATAGGTCCTGTTAGTATTACGTATAGGCCCAAGCACTTCATCCATCCGTTCCGCTTCCTTTTCAACAGTCATTCATCGAGGTGATCTGGATATGGCTATGTTCGACAGCGACTTTAGGATCTATCGCTCTCTGCTGTCACTGGCATACTGGACAAGCGGTGCTTTTCCTGGAATCCTGACATATCTCACCAAAGCTTTACCAGGTTTTCACGAGTCGGATAACATTTGTTACCTTGTGTGTGTGATATTCTTCAAGGACGGCAATTATTCATATACCCCACGGTGGTTCCTACGATTGGACCCAAACAAAAATCCTCGAGAAGTTCAGAGTTTACAAACATCTTCATAACAATTTCTATCATTCCTACACTAAGCGAAAGTAATATAAGCTATAAGAGCAGCTGGAATTGCGGAAATCGCTAAGTTTATGGAAGGGGAAATTTTTTATGGAAGTAAATGTATGTTGTTTAAAAACCTCGCGATTGCTGAACAAGAAAACGACACATTCATATTCCAATGCCGAGGTTAAGAGAAAGTCGATCCTGGCAACTATTACGAAATCGCTAAGCTTTTGTCTGCTAAAACCTTATCGCTTCATTGGAGCCTCAAAAGGACGTTCAAATCACGAGATTCAATGGATCTGATAACGTTTTTATGACCAATTTTACAAATACGTGTGTCTTTCTGTTCAAAAACAAATAGAAGAGGTTCATTCTCAAAACAGAAGTTTAGCCAAAACAGAAAAACCATTAGTTGCTGAAATTAGTAAAGACGTTGTCACAGATCTACTGTCAAGTTGTGAATAAAGCTCCTCCTATGTACTGAATTTACTAATTGAAATAAAATCTATCCTATCTTACCAGTAAAAGATTATTTATTTCATCAATAAGGTGAGCTCATAGACTTCCACGCTTTTGAAGCGCACGAATCACCTAAAGACATTATCAACAACAAATTCAGTGTTAAAGATTTGCAAAAGAAGTAATCGTCCAGTTAGCTTCAGACCAAACCTTCCATCCTTTCGGGGTCGGAATCGGCAATTTGCAACCAGACTTGTCTGGGAGGACAGCAGCACTGGCTCGATACATAGGTAGGCCACCACAAGTCATTATAAAGACCAGATATTCAAGCGTCGTTTTCTTGTTCAGCAATCGTGAGGTTGTTAAACAGCATACATTCACTTTCCTAGAAAACAAAATACAATACAACACTAGCTGACGTTTCCGCAGACAAACAGATGCCTTTTTCAGAGTCTGGAAGGGTATACTGATATGCAATCTACTAGGCCAAACGCATCGATAGCACTTACAAAAAGACGAAAAACTCTATGACAAACTATGCATGATCAACAGCTTCTCGAAAAACTCACCGCTTTTTTCGTGACTTCGAGGAAGATTAGAACAGCTGATAATAGTCGCATATGGTTGATGACTGCACCATCCCACATCAGAAATTGATGCGAACACACGCGGTCAGGTCGCGTATGACCTCTGAACATTCATCTCTGCTATTCATTGCAGGGTTTTTGGCATTTATCCAAAAAGCCTCTAGGAGTTTTCGCGCTGGTGTTTTGGACTCCTGTGCAAGGATATTGACTTTCACTTCAAAATCGTCTCCGCTATGCTTTTGTATCCCATGCGTGCCTAGTGGGGTACTTCGTCTTAGTTTTCGTTTGCCATCTAGGTGTTCTTTTATACGGATACACAAAGGTCTGCCTGTTCCACCAATATATTCATCTCCACAATTGTTACAAGAGATCAGGTATATCGTACCTGAACCCATGCAATCACCGTCCTTGCCGTAAGGGCAAATTACGCAATTTGCTGTTTCACATAGGCGGTCATACAGGCGGTTACGAATAGTATCTCAACTATCGCTACCGATTCCTCTAGACCTGCCCTTCTTAAGCATCGTTTTATAGCTACGCTTACTTCATCGCTTATAAAAGGCAACATAAACGGGATTTTCTTTCGGCCAAGTGTTTCGCGTGAGCGCGTCGTTCTCCTTGTAAACTTATCTCGTGGGGTTACTATTTCGTAGCCATTGGAGATGGCTATTTGCCGAGCCAAGTCGCGCAATTCTTCCTTTAGTTCCCTGGTAGTGCACACAGAGGTGGCTGTTCGAAACATGTTTCTCACAATCGCCCTCTTTGTGTGTGAAGGGTGGGAGGAAAGGAAATGAACAAGAATGCTCTTGTTACTTGGCTTTCGATAGCACATTGTCAGGTATCCGCTACTTGATAGGTTTATTTGAACGTTCAAAAAAGGAAGCCAGTTTTCTCTCGGTTTCTCCCAGGTGAACTTTATGTACTTGGACTGCTCGTCCATAGCTCAAAGCATTTGTCCATCTCCTCCTGCGTAGAGAAGACGACAAAATAATCATCTACATATCTGCAGTAGAGTAGTGGCCGGAGATCGAGAACAGGGGCTTCTATCTTAGACATAAACACAATGGCAAGGTTTGGTGCCAATCGCTGTCCCATTGCCAATCCCCTTATTTGCGCGAAATATTTCCCAGACCATCTGAAAATCAAGCAGTTTAGGCACTCCTTTAAGAGAGCCATTGTCGTCTTCTCTACGCAGGAGGAGATGGACAAATGTTTTGAATGCGGAATGAATATGGAAAAGAAAACATGCGGAATTTTATATCAACTCCATCGTTAGTGTCTTGCTGTCTAAGATACGTTTTAGGAAAAGGAGATGGTAGTAGTGTCGCCGCCACTTGATTTTCATCTCAATTCGATTTCCCTTGTTTAGCCTGATAGAGGAGTCGATCTTGAAGCTCACAACAGTTGCATGCTATCCTGCGCAGGGTTGTTTTAGAAATAGGCTGTGATAGTGCAAAACTTGGACCCAATTCTAATAGCTAACGCGCGCTTTCAGGTAATTTTATGCCCCAATCACGGTGACCCTAGAGTTTCTTGGTGCATTAGCAACCCTATTTTGACTATTATCAGAAGCGTAAAGAATTTGTTTGCGGTTGTTTCTTGAATCGGAGACATGTGAATTACTCAAAGGATTTTCGAGTTTTCGTTGTAAGGTTATTTTGACATTAGATCTAATAAAATCGCATATCAATACTAACCCACCAACTATTCTCAGGGATGAATGTCCGGAGGTCATACGCGACCTGATCCCGTATGTTCGTATCGATTTTTGATGTGGGATGGTGCAGTCGTCAACCATATGCGACTATAATCAGCTGTTCCAAACTTCCTCATTGGAAGTCACGAAAAAGCGGTGGGTTTTTCGAGAAGCTGTTGATCGTGTAATTACCAAAGAGTTTTTCGTCTTTTTGTAAGTGTTATTGAAGCGTTTGGGTTGGTAGATTGTATATCAGTATACACTTCCAGGCTCTGAAGAAGGCGATTCTGCTGAAACGTCAGCTACTGTTGTATTGTATTGTATTTTCCTATGGAAGTAAATGTATGTTGTATAACAACCTCGTGATTGCTGAACAAGAAAACGACGCATTCATACTCCAATGCCGAGGTTAATAGAAAGTCGATCCTGGAAACCAAATATTCATTCAATCATCTCCAACGATACTTAGTAAAATCGAATCCATTGCACCTCCCTCGGGAATTCAAGAATCAACCCCGAAAGCTTCATCCTTTCTTTAGATGGACTGCCCAGTTGGAGCTACGTCCGTCAACTTGAGAAACACAAAAGCCATCATGATTAAAGCAGGATGCCTAGTTTTGCTGTTTTTGATTACGAACTAATGCATATTTCAGCGAGCCCTTCCATCTCCTATGTTTACTCTATTGGTT